TTTGTTTTTATTTAGTTGATTAGGAAGAATAGTAATTCCAGACGACCAGATTCATCTAAGACATCGCTGCATAGACACCTTCGCACAACAAGTTTTCAATTTGCTTCTTTCCGAAACTCCACGGGCAGTGCGAGCCAAACATCGCTTCTGGAGAGCACTTCAGTTTAAAATTTGCGTTATTTTGCAGAGTTAAAGTTTATTCCAAAGATTGTTGAAGGCTTTATGGTAGCCAGATGATGCACAGAAATTTAAAGCGGGCAGATTTTTGCTATAGAACTGGTAATCACTTCTTCTCTTGAGTTTATTTACAATAACAAAAAATAAAGCGTCTGTCATAGCACAACATATACCTACTGCAAGCCAAGGAAGTGCCTAACTTTTGAAAGACAAGTTTGGATTTTTGACAAACCTTTTGTTATTCTTTTTTATACCTAGAGGCCTCAAAATCATCCAGCGAACTCATTAGGTCATTATGGCCTTTTTGGCCTGGATCAGATGCACCAGCTATGATTAATGCCATAATTGTTGATCATGAAGTTATACGAAAAATAGGTTAATTTTTTAAAAAATAAAGGAGGATGAAAAAAGCAGTTGGCTTTTGCAGACATTCATTTGTACTTCTGTATAGAGGATCCCTTTATGTCGTTAACAGTTTTTCACATTCACTCACTTAGCTGGAAATATGTTCGCTATGGTTCTTACACGCAACTTTCGACGCAAACTAGCTTTTCCACTTGCTTATTCGAATGATGACTGTCATTTGGTTTGCTTTTGGCCCTGCATGTTACTAACCCTTTGTGCAAAAACTGCAATCTCTTCAAGTCGCTTTATTTTCAGAGAAAAATCAATGCTTGCGATGCTTTCTCCTTTTATAGTTTTGGGAGGGGTTAGCGCCGTCGCGAGGAGGACACTTGCAGTACTCGGCGTCTTTGCCAGGATTTCCTGGTGGTCCTGGAGGTCCTTCTTCTCCATCAGGACCGGCTGCACCCTAGAAAAGACTTGTTTATTTCGCTCAAACACATTAAAGGAATTAAGTTAAGAAGCAAAATAAATATTTTAAAGACTTGCCTGATAACCCTGCACTCCTGGCTCACCAACAGGACCTTGAGGACCAGGATAAGCATCTCTTCCTGGGGACCCTTCCGGTCCTTCTGGTCCTTGTTCTCCGGGAGGTCCCTTTGGTCCCTGTCTTCCGATAGGGTTCTCTGCATCGTCACCCTTCTCTCCCGGTTTCCCTGGTTCTCCGTCTGCTCCGGGTGGGCCTGGTGGTCCCATCTCCCCTATAATCTTTGCTTATGCAGGATCCAGTAAGTTATTTGAATTATTTGAACTCAACTGACCTGGCATTCCGGGGTTTCCATCTCGTCCTGGTCTTCCCGGCTGTCCTCTGGCGCCCCTCATACCTCGGATTCCCGGGGCTCCAGTTGGTCCCTGAGGACCAGGAAGGCCTTGCGGGCAGGTGAAACATCCCTGAGGGGCCTCATTGGCGATATCTACTGCATCTTGTCCATCAAATCCAGGTACGCCATCGAGACCGTCAGGTCCATCGGGTCCAGCTTCACCCATTGGTCCTTCTGGGCCAGGTGGACAGTTATTTTCGGTTGTGCACACACATCGTGAGTTTGCGATAAAGCTAGGCATGGGGAATCCACCAAATGTTGGGGTTGGGTTTGCACTTGGTGTAGCTCCGTATGCACTGTTAGTGCTTGCAGGAGGTTGAACTCCACTTGCTCCATAGCCACCGTATGCCTGACGCCTAAGACGGTTTGAAGGTGTGCCAGCTCCAAGACCAATCATATCCTTCCAGAGATCGTCTGTAAGCACCTAAATGAAATATTTTTCCGTTTGTGCATAACAATCATTGAAGTTTAAGGATACAAATCTTAGCAATTTTGTTCAAAAAACAATAATTTTCAATTCAGAACAGTGCTTCATAGTATCAAGTGATTCCAATTATGTCAACCTTAAACGTATTCATCTCGGCATCTAACTCGTTCCAAATAGAATTAACTTGAGAGAATATGGCAGCTGCTGCGAACAAGGAGACGAGCAAAGTAGCCCCGGAAAACACCAAAGCGCCTGATGTGGCGCTAATGGTCGACATCTGAAAATAATTTTCCAATGAGCTTTCATAAGCGATAACAAGCAGGAATGAGTTTTTAGTGAAAAAGGAATCAGGCTCTGGCGAAAAACCCAGTTAAGAACGAATTAATGCTTTATTAGACAACGGGATCGCTTTTATACGAGGTCCTCCGAAAATCGAATCGCACTTTTTCTCTTTTGATGAGAGACAATGAGAGCGGCGCTGGTCAGTGGGAGCGAAAAACTGAAACTGTGAAAGGGAGCGTTCCAAAGCACGAAAACGCTCCTCTTTCATGTTGCAATATTTTAGAAGATAGATTAGATTTGAATTTCATACTGGCTGTGAGTGAGAATGGCATGCCCATAACCCGTTTTGTGTTAATTTGTGTCATTAGATTAAAGATTGTTTAGAGATGTTCTTCGAATCGATCATCAATGACCTGTCAAGGATTAGTGTTATCACTGTGTTATTATCATACTTATTAGACTACTGTATTAACTGTTATTCGTAATCTTGCTGTGCCATCATTGTTCCGATAGTCTTTGGAGTATTGCACTGCTCATTAGAGAAGATAAAAGCATAATTGCATGGTAAATTATTATACTATCAGTAACTGTTAGCACGTACCATCTTTTTTACGCCTTTAGTGGTAGAAGAGTAGTATAACTCATTTTCTGCCTTCTTACTTTCGGTATGAAACTTCACTTTAATAAGTAGTTGAACGATAAGGATTAAAGCGGCAGTAACCCTGGCTGGAACCTCAGCGATCCGTAAAAGCCCTTTACAGAGTTTTTCCAACCTTTTTAGTTTGACTCTTTAACGAAGGTTCGTTCGAGCAAGTTTTGTGATGTTTCTCCATCTGTTTTTTATTTTAAAAAATGTTTGCATCTTCTTTTAGATTGATATATGCGCAATTTAAATACACCATCTATCAGCCCAAATGCAAATGATTTTGTCTGAAACTCTTGTGATCAGTTGAGTTTACTCAACAGTTATTAGTCGCTCATTCAATCCCACTGATTTATGGTCATGTCGAAAGAAACTCCACCGATGAAAGGCGTATCCAAATCCCACCGTGACGCTTCTATCGCACTTGCGGATCAGAGGAAAAATGCAATGACACAGAACCCACCTATCCATCTTCATGTCAAAAAATTCAGCACCACAAAGGCCATAGACGATTTCTCTTTTAAACATCTGCATAGAATGGGCACACTGGATCGATTTGTATTATGTCTCTACAAAATAAAACAACTGGTTTGTTGCTTCCTTTTGCTTACCCAATTTTTCGCAAGGAAAGTGGGAGTAGCGAGTAGGAAGTGCGAGAGCGAATGTGGGAAGTGAGGAGATAAGTGGAGAGAGGAGAGACAGGGATGAAGGAGGAGAGAGGGATAAAGAGAGAGTTGGGATGAAGAAGAATGAAAAGGGAGTGTGGGAAGGGGGAAAGGTCAGTGTTGAATATTAACCCATAACTGAAGCAACCTCAATTTTTCCAGAAGATTGTGCACAGCAAATTCAAATTCCAGAAGTCTCACACTTCACATCACGACGTTATTTTGCGTTAAGCACTTTTTT